CATGAAGGTGACTCTGCACCCAGCGTGTCAACGTGCGGCTTCGAAGCCAGTCAGACGATTCAGCGATTACCTTAGAAGCGTTAACGATTTCTGAAATTTTCTCTGTCACAAGCCCACTGCTCGACCCCAACATTTTGCACTGGCTCGACGAACGGGGGTATAATGGAGCTGACAGCCATCAACCAAATGCATGGCAACCCGAAGAGATACAGTCGACTCCCGATAATTCTAAGTCGCTTAATTGGAATCATCAGTTAATTGGAAGTGGAGTGGGGGTTCCGTCAGTTTTGCATGCAGTTCAACAGGAAGAAATTCTCGGTAATTGGAAGCTAGAGGTCTGAAATTTCGGTTAATTCGAATTTATTTTCAATCGAATTCCCGGAGGAAATCGTGATGTTTGTTATATTTCCTATTTTCGAAGTGCTAAACAACAATGCGTGTCTGACCGGCACCCAAGGGCATCCCAGTTGACCACAGCGCCGCAACTCAAAGCGTCAGCTGATGGCATCGCAGTTGCATGCAGCGCCCCAGATCACGAAGCGGCTGCTCCGGCGGTTCTGGGCCTCATTGTTGATCTTGTTATGGTCGTGTGCGGACTCAGCGTTTCCACGTGCGACGAAGCTCCACGTGCATTTACTATGGCAACTCGCGGGCCTTATCAGACGCTTGACTTGGCGAGGAAAGTCAAAATTTTGAAAGAAGTTGAACAAGGAGTCACCGCCAAGCAAGATAATACGCAGAAATATGGCATCAAGCCTAATATTCTGTATAACATCCTGAAGAACAAGCGCTAGGCACTGGACGCATTCAAAAATGACCAGTTCAATATGTCTCGCAAGAGAATGCGCACTGGCGCCCACCTGGAGTTAGTTAGAGCAAGCGCTGCTCATCAGAATTCGGGAGGCTCGAAGCAACAGACTTTCTCTCAGCGGCGATATCGTTGCAGCGAAAGCGTCATCGCTTGCGATTATGCTACGCATCGAGAACTTTGCTTCTTCCGATGGGTGGCTCACACAGTTCAAGCAGCGCCACGATATGGTGTTTAAAAGCGTTAACAGGGAAAAGGCTGCCGTCAATGCTGAAACATGTGATACGTGGAGGGAAAATTAGCTTCGCAAATACTTGGGAGTATATCGGCCGGAAGATATCTTCAATGCCGACGAGACAGCACTTTTTTACAGAATGTTGCCCGAGAAGACACTGACCTTTAAGGACGATGACTGTGCTGGAGGGAAGCGTAGCAAAGAAAGAGTGTCGGTGCTGATAGCGGCAACATGACGGGCACTGAGCGATGTCGCCTGCTCGTGATAGGCAAAGCTGCTAAGCCTAGATGTTTCAAGGGCGTGAAAACGCTGCCTGTCGACTTCGCGTCTAACAGGAAACAGGAAAGCGTGCATGACCGCAGACCTATTCAAGGAATGGCTGACAAAATTGGAGCACAAGTTCGCGTTATCTAAACGCAATGTATTGCTCCTTGTGGACCAATTCAGTGCACACATGAATGTGCCGCACTTGAGTGCAATACGTGTAGCCTACCTGCCAGCGAACACTACACCGGTGTTACAACCACTGGACCAGGGGATCATCAAAAACGTGAAAGTACTGTACAGGAAGCATCTTCTTGAGTGGATGCTGTTGTGTATGGACAATGCAAGTCAGTGTGAGGTGAGCCTTCTCAGTGCTATCCATATGCTGGCGCGAACGTGTGGTCGCGTAAAGGATGAAACCATTGCGAACTGCTTTAGGGCGTGCGGCTTCATTCCAAGTGGTGCAGATAATGACGCGTCCTGTACAGTGGGGGAAGAAGACACAAGTGAGCTTGACGTTGATGGTCTCCTGCCAGATCTCGGCGACGTCCCTTTTGAGGAGTACATTGCCACTGACAGTTCGGTAGAAACATGCGGTGCACTGTCGGACGCTGAGATCGTGGAGATGGTTCGGCACAGCGAGCCTAGTCACGAAACTGAGGTTGACGCCGCCGCCGCCGCAAGTGAGCCACTACCGCGGGCTGCTGATGTAGCCACAGGTCTTGCCTTCGCGCAGCGACTTTTCACTGCTGAGAGCAACGCCGAGGAAGCACTCGGGCACATATACAGCCTGCAGGACTTGCTTTCTGCTGCAAGATTCAGCAAACAGAAGCAAACAGCAATCACAGATTTTTTCTCATAAACTGCTCTGAAATAAATGTATTTTTCGTTCAATGTGGTTAATTAGAATTCCGCTTAATTCGAAGTTTTTCACGGTCCCCGTGAACTTCGTATTAACGAGAGTCGACTGTAAGTGTCCTCATTGGATCTGATGCTTATTGGCAACTTGCCACCGGGAAAATCCATTAGCCTGACAAGAAGTGGCAGCGATCTGCCTTGACGACCACGCTATGGAGACGGAGACGAACATTTGTTGCAACTACACTTCAACTGTTGGTGCTTTTAAAATACAGTATCTGTTACCGAGGTCTCAGAAGCTATGGCAGTAAACCAGTAGGCAGTTTCCCCCACAATTTTTCAGTGAGCGACCCAAACTGCATGGGTGATACTGCGACTATGCCAATCCACCCCCAAACAGCAGCTGCTGAGGTGGGACAGGTTACCTGAAGCATGTACATCTTATTTTCTATTGTTGCTTATTCGAAAGCTAGGGTCATAACATGGGTGTGGGCAAATTATGCGAGTGTGCTGACCACACCAGTGTACACAGTCTCCATTGGTGTTAACAAGAGCCACCAGCAACACAAATGTGCTTCTTAACAGCCACAAAGACGACCAATAAATTAGCTCAAACTTTCCTGCGACAGCACGAGAGACGAGCACTTGTCCCATTTCTCTTTCCACATCATCACATTTACTGCACATCCCTACAACAAAAGGGGCAAGCTCTGACTGGTCCGATTTGCCATCCCCTGGATCCTGTGTTGGCCACTAACAACACTGATATTATCAATGTTGTTAGTGGCCTGCGAACTCCACCAGCCTGCGAACTCGCAGTGTGGCGCAAGACAGAGGCGCGTGATCAGTCGATTTTCGAGGAACCGTCGTCACCGTGGTCTCTGAGTTTACATCAACGCCTATTCTGACATCCCCTCGGTGACGACGACACGGTTGTCCGAAATTAAGAAAAGTCACGGTTTAGTCACAAGGGTGAATGAAACAATGACTGCAATAGCAACAACTTTGAATGTAACGCTAAGAACGGCAAGCAGATTGAAACGTGCAACGCGCTGCTCACGCACAAATGACGCACGGAAACAATTCACATGACGAGAGCAAACTAACAACGTTTACCGCTCGACACTTAATTAACGCGCTGTTAAAAAAAAAAACGAGGCACAAAACGTAATCACAGGTACAGGTATGAGTGCCCCAGCTGTTACTTCGCCATGTTTTAAAAGTGCACTCTTTTCGCAAACGGCGCCTGTCCAGCGAGCGAAAGAATCTTTGTGCGCCCGGCAACTAAACGCAATCGTTCCAGTCAAAGTCGAAGGCACTATTTCCCGCGCCGAAGGATAAGCGCGCGCGCACAAGCATTTAACCTCCCCCCCCCCCTGCCCCTCCCCTCTATCACAGGGCAAAGTACGCGTCGGAGATCACATTCTGCTGAACTGCGTGCCGAGCGCGGGCAGCTTTTTTTTTCTTCTTGAGTTTTAATTTGGATACGTACATATACGGTGAATGACGGCTGCGGTGGTGTTGGCAATAAACCAGCCGGGACTCTCCGCATAGATGCTATGGTAATAAAAAAAAAGCAAACTTGCACGTCGTCAGGCGCCACACCAAGCAAGCGCAGTGAAACTATGCACGCGCGCACGGCGTCGAAAACCAAGAGCGAACGACACGGACACAGGCACGGATATTGCGGAAAACTATTCGGTAAAGCGCTCTCCATATGCAGCGTGGCCCCACATATGTGAAGCAAACTAAAGCGTGGCACTGCCAACGCGCAAAAGTAGTTTTACTTCTTTCTTTTTTTTTTAAATTTTTGTTTGGAGTGGGCGGGGGGGCCCACTTCCGCATGCACCCGCGGCGGTGAGAACGGCAGCAGCGCCAGCTCGTAGGGTGCAGGCCTGCCTCGCGCTCACCCGCGTGCAATAACGAGCGCTTGCTCTCGCCTGGTGCACCGTGCGCGCCGCGGAAGATGCATGCTCGTAACAAAATGCGGAGCGAAATTCCCAGATTGTCCGTGGGGGAAATTCATTATATCAAGGTTGTCTCCCGCTGTTACTTTGTTACATAGAGGTCGCAAATACATGTGTTTCTATGAAGCAATGGCGGGGAATAAAAAACTTTGTTATATCGAGGAATTCATTACATGGAGGTTTGTTACAAGCAGGTTTAACAGTATAGTAATTGTACTGAGCATTCTTTGAGAACATTGTATCATTTAGATAAAGAACTTCAGTGTTCAAAGTGGTGCTTTTAAATTATTGTGAGACCAAAGAATTAAACTATGTTTCATGAGTCAACATTATCATGAATCTCATGATATGATAGTCGGTTGAAGGCACTTTTGTTTTGGTAACACCAGAGATTTAAAGCAAGAACGCCTTCATCAGGGGGTCAATACACTGTCGACAGTTTCTTTATAGAATATTGGTAATTCGATAACTAAAACAAGAAAAATGGTCTGTTGCTGTTTTAAGACCTTATCGATGAGGGGTTTACCGGTTAGTGCTGATTACCCAAAAGAAAGTAAAAAGATGTCGTTTTTCAAATATGCAATATTCGACTGAAGTTACAAATTGAACAGAACCCACACAATTCATTATTTGAGATTTTCAAACTTTCACCCTCCCCCCTTTTGGTACCACTCTCTCAAGTCCCTGCGTTGGCAGCTAAAATTTGAGGCTAAAAAGTGAGATTCAGTGCAGCAGGGCTGTAAAAATGCACACCACTCATAGACATGCAAATGCAGTTTTTGAACTTTTCGTCGCACTACCTCTGCCACAACTATGCTATCACAACTATTGGGGAATGCGACTGCGCAACGACACCCCGCTGAATTACCTCCGTCGCATTGGTGACTGCTTCGAGGAAGACACTTGTGGACTGCAAGCTGTCAACCTTGAGATCCTTGACCTTGGAAACCATAGCTGGGCAGAAGTAAAGAATAAGTTAATCAAACAGTGGCTCCATGCATTTTTTTTTTTTGAAATGTTAATGTAACTTGTAACTTGCCACATATTTTTGGAGCCATTACTACTTACTGTCCCGCAATGCCAAATCAAAGAAGTGCATGCTTTTTCGTGGCCTTAAAGTGCCACTCACCAGGTTTGACAATTTTGAGCTGTCAAGCGCAATGCGTAGATGAGGCGTTCATGATCACGTCTGCCAGAATTTCCAACGCTACGTGCCGCGAAAATAGGTCAAATTTCAAGATGAACGCTGCTCCCCCTCCCCTCTGCCGGCGCACACCTAGAGAATGAGGGCATGACGTGGGCGTATGAATGGCCCTATGTACACGGCAATGCAGTGACGTTGGTCCTCTACGTAGACGACTCTGCTCTGACGTTGTCAACAGTATACCACGTGACATGGCAAAAATTATTTAACACTTCATGCGTAGTTTATGTATTTGTTGCTTTAAGACATTAATAAAGCTTGAAATAAATAATGAGACGCAATAAAAAATTGTGCGTGTTCTTTCATTTTTTTTCCCGTGAAATGCTACGAGATGCGGGGCTAATGTGCCAGCGTTTCGCATGCGTTCGTGTCCCTACGGTCAGCGCATTGAGCAGACAACCGCCGTGGAACGCTCCTACGCGTTTGCGCACTCATTGTGCTCATCGACTCTACCGTGTCTAAGCAAGCGTTTCCAAACCATCCCGCAGAAACAGGAAGAAGACCACAAAATAACGCTGGTCAACAAAGCAACGCTGCTTGCGTGCTCCGGGGTTGGACTTGTTTGGGCACGCCACCTCATGGTCGGATGCTGGAGAGGGTGGGGAAGAGATTTGGCTTGCGAAGCCTACGCAAAAGAGCGGTAAGGGTTTCGAGCTCGCCTCCTCTCATTTTCGTTTCGTGCCGCTTCAAAAAACCCGTTTTCTCCGCTCGTGATGAACCAATCCGAAACATTTTTGCGGCAAAATTTTCCTCCTAGGACACCCAACAACTTCCACTGCCTAACTAAAATTCAGTATGGGGCCTGGTGAGTGCCCTTTAAGTAATGTCTTATGTGAGTGGCAATGGCTTGGCAGTTCAGTAAAACGCAGTGAATATTCTGTGGTCCAGACCACAGGACAAAGTCCAACTTTATTCTGTGTACCACGCAATACACTTGGGCACTCTGGGCAGTGAAGAATGCGTAGTAGCCCAAGCAGAGCTCCTCTCTTGACGACAGTTGTGTGCACTAGACCACAGAATACAGTAAAAGCTCGTTAATTCGAATTCCACGGGAACGCTGAGCAATTTCGAATTAAACAAAATTCGAAATAATGAAAGTGAGCAAAAATGGGTGGATTTCGGGGGTGGGGGCACGAAAAATATTTATTGGCCAAAAAAGTCGGTGATGACCATCTGCTTCTTTTCTCTGAATGCCACAGCTGCGGCTCTCTGTTCCAGCGCGCGGACGCGGCGCAGGGAATCCTTTTCACCCTCTTCAAAGTTGAAGAAGAGACGCGCCACATTAAGTGCCTCCATCACCGCAGAAGCTGACGGGCGCACAGGCGCTTCGTCATTTTCGTCTTCCTCACCTTCTGGCTCTTCAGCATCAGGCTGCGCACCGGCTACTTGAGCGATAATGTTTTCATCAGTCAGGGCACCACACACCGCTGCGCACCGGCTACTTGAGCGATAATGTCCTCATCAGTCAGGGCACCACACACCGATGCACCGGTGTCAACTTCAACATAATCGGCAAAACGTACGCCCCGAAGAGTGTCGCGCAATGCCACTGGCATGAGCTCCTCAGCCCCATCCACGTCGACGTCACAACTATCCTGCGCACTTCCAGCTGCAAATCCACTGTGGCGGAAACAGTTTGCGATTGTGCTCGCGGTCACCTGTTCCCATGCGCGCACCAACATGTGCATGGCAGTGAGCAGCGTAATGCCAAAGTCCTTCCCGTCGCCCGCGCACAAAATCATTCTCTCCAGCACGTGACGCCTATAAAAGCACTTAATGTTCCTTATCACACCCTGGTCCATTGGCTGTAGGGCCGCAGTCGTACTTGCCGGAAGGAACACCAACTTAGTTGCTCTCAGCTCAACGTCGACTTTGTGCGCCGAACAGTTGTCGACGACAAGAAGAACGCGTCTGCCGCCCAGTTCCATTCGCCTGTCGAATTTCAGTAGCCACTTCCTGAATAGGTCACCTGTCATCCAGGCTTTCTTGTTTGCGGCGTACTCCGTCGGCAGTGAGCGAATGTTTTTGAAGCACCGTGGCTTGAGTGATTTGCCAATCACAAAAAGGGGGACCTTTTTCGTACCGGTCATATTTGCGGCGACCAGAACGGTGACACGCTCTTTGCTGCACTTGCCGCCGGCACAGCTGTCTCTTTTGTAGGTGATCGTCTTGTCTGGCTGCAACTTGAAAAATAACGCTGTCTCATCAGCGTTAAACACATCCTGTGGTGAGTAGCTCTCCAAGTACTGCTGCAGGGTGTCGCTTCTCCAAGTAGCGCATGTTTCGGCGTCCACTTCCTTTGCCTCGCCGGATAACGTGCGGAATACAAGATTGTGCCGCTCCCTGAAACGATGAAACCATCCCTCGGAGGCAACAAAGTCTTCAATGTCTAAGCGCAGGGCGAAATCTGCTGCCTTGGCCATGATGATAGGGCCGCTCAATGCGATACTCTGGGCTCTTATTTCTTTAACCCAGATAATCAAAGCTGACTCCAGCTCCGGGAACTTCGCTGTCCTTAGCCTTTTTCGACTGGCGTCAAAATCCTCGGCTTCATAGGCGTTTTCAATGGCCGTCCTGTTGCGTATGTAGGTTGACAACGTGCTCGGAGGTATGCCGTGCTTCCTCGCAATTTCGTATTTGCTCGAGTTCCCTTGGTCAACCTCTCGCAAAATCTCCACCTTCTCCTTGACAGTCTTCGCGCAGTAGTTTCCCCGCGGCATCTTGCAACTTCGATGCCGAATAAGACGGCTTGACGGCGTGAACGAACAACGTGCTCGAGGAACAAAGTGACGCTGCCGGGAGCGGCCTAGGACTGCTAGGACTACTCCGCCGACTCCTCAGCGTCCCGTGGGTCCAGCGTACAAGTGGCGCCAGGCGCTGAGATAGCGGGAGGGCTACGGAAAAAAAAAATTGCTCCCTGAATTTTGGAGGCCATACTTTGCTCGCCCTTTGCTCGCAGGCCACTTGAAGCTCGAAAAAACTGGTCGTGCCACCTATCGTTCGACCGTAAAAGCTTCCACTAGTGTTTGACGATGATGACGCTCGGCGGCGTGCGCTTCGAATTATCCGTAGAGGCAGCAATTTCTGTTCGAATTAACGAATCGTTTTACACATGGTCTCCTAGGCACTGCGGACCGGACTGCGGCGACCATTTCGAATTATCCAAAATTTCGAATTAATGAGGTGTGAATTAACGAGCTTTCACTGTATAGCCCCAACCTGTTCTGAAGATCAGATTACCGCATAAAGCCTATCTTTATTTCCTGGACCATGCTCTGTAGCTCAAACAGCCTACCTCTCTTGATGACAGTTTCCTAAGTGACACGGTTGCGGTGGTTTATTCCATAGCTAGAGTATCACTATGATATCTACTCTGTGCCTTCCTGCCTTACTTGTCGACGGCTGCTCTTGCGAATCGCAAGATTTGCTCATCGCTCTGAGTGCGGACGAAGGAGGTTATGTCGACGGACATAAAGTGTCAGTGTACAGTTCGTGATGCGACACTGAAGATGTGTATGCGAGAAAGACTTGAAATGTGAAGCCTGATTGATTGATTGACATGTGAGGTTTTACGTCTCAAAACTAAAGAGAAATTTCGTACAGCTGGCAGCCTTTGGGCACACAGTCAAAGGTCTAGTTACCAATTAATGGCAAGCTGCATTAGCAAGCAGTTTGCAAGAACGCATTTAACACAATGTAAAAAAAATGGAAGCCTACATGAAAACACGAGAGAGTTAGAAGGTATGTAGCTTATCTGGAAATCTTTTGATGAATTAAAAAATACGGCTCAAAAGCTCAGTAGCCCTACACACTATGAAACATCAGACATGCTTGCAGCTTCCTGCAAAGGCTTCCTAGGCAATATAACACCACAAAAACAATTCAAAGGAGCTTGGTACCAAAAGCAGAACTCACTTTTGACTAGAGGGACCAGGCTGTCCCCGACTTTGATTTCGGCACTGGTTGGGGCCTCCACACTCAGCTCTGCGAGAGACAAGCATACAAGGAACACTCGACACAATACTAGGATACTTGCAAAGGTGGCAACACAATTTCATGGTCTATAGCAGCTTCTGCATTGAAATAATTAAATGCCTCTCAACGGCTCCTAGGGCCCTAAGAAAACACTACATGACTATGAAATCATGATCCTCAAGAGCATGAAAAAAAAAAAAAAAAAAAGAAAGGTAGTACAGTCAAGCCCACACATACCGTAGTTACTCGAATCTAACGCGCACCTTTTTCCGGTTAAGCGAGTTCATAAATCGCATGCGCGTTAGAATCGAGTAAGAACAAAAAAATTACGGCCAATCTATTGCCATCGGCAAATCTAAAATGGCCGCCCCCTACGTGCGTCGGCATGGCGCGTCGTCCATTTCTGCCTATGTGTTTCTCATGTGCGGCACTCCGTACGTGTGCTGAGGAGTTCGTCATCTAGTAGTGCATTAGCATCGACGGCGTGGAATGGCCGACTCCAAAAACTCGAGTGCACCACGATGCCGCTTTTAAAAGAAAAGTCATCGCGTGTGCAGAAACGGACGGAAATCGGGCCGCATCGCGGTCGTTCGGAGTTCCCGAAACGTGCGTGCGGGACCGGCGGAAACAAAAGCAGAAGATTTTCGACAGCAAAGCTTTACGCAAAGGCTTCAGTGGACCACAGCAGGGTCGGTTTCCGCAAATTAAAGAGCTGCTCGGCGAGTATGTGCTTTAGCAGCGAGCAGCACAGCGACCCGTGACGGCAGAACTGCTCCAAGTGCGGGCTATGCAATTAGTCTTAGAAAAATGTCTAATGCGGAACCAGTTTTAAGCGAGCAGGTGCTAGCTAACTAACTCTATGAAGAGGAAAGGCTTTTCCCTCCGAAGGGGAACATGCATATGCGAAAAGTTTTGCGGAGGAGTACGATGAAAAGCTTCACAGTTTTCAGAGGTTCGTCCTAAACTTGCGGCGCAACAACGACAACCTGCTTGGGCAAATCGGGAATGCCGATCAGACGCCTCTTTACTTCGACATGCCTGGCACCACAACCGTCGAGAAGAAGGGGGCGAAGCAAGTTCGCGTGCTGACATCGGTCCATGGTAAAACTACAGTGACGGCAATGCTCTGTTACACGTCAGATGGGCACAAGCTTCGCCCGTACCTCATATTTAAATGGAAGACGCTCCCGAAAGGAGTCGTTTTTTCGAGTGGTGTGATCATGCGGGCCAGCGAGAAAAAATGGGTGCGCGTTGCAATCGATGTCTTACGTTTTTTTTTTTTTTTCGCGGTGGAAATCGGGTGCGCGTTACAATCGAGGGCGCGGTAGAATCGAGTAAATACGGTAACGGCCCCACTTAAAACGAACTTTAGCTTAAAACGAACAATATCCGCGTGACCGTGAAAATATGCATAGGTTATATGGCACGAAATCGCACTTACAACGAACGTCTCCGAGCGCCGCTGATCAGTTACAACAAACGGAGCCAGCGGTCTGCCGACTTCCCGGGAAACCAATTTCGACCACCGATCAGGCATCGGCGAGGTGCCCATACGTTCTTATTGTTAAACGCCAATTCTGCCTCTGCGCCTCTCTAGTTGTTGCTCTCCCCGACCGCTTTTTGTTACGCACCCCTCCGTCCTTTGTCCCCCTGCTACTCCGAGCACCCCGCCCCGCCGCGGTGGTCTAGTCGCTAAGGTACTCGGCTGCTGACCCGCAGGGCGCGGGTTCAAATCCCGGCTGCGGCGGCTGCATTACCGATGGAGGCGGAAATGTTGTAGGCCCGTGTGCTCAGATTTGGGTGCACGTTAAAGAACCCCAGGTGGTCTAAATTTCCGGAGCCCTCTGCTACGGCGTCTCTTATAATCATATAGTGGTTTTGGGACGTTACACCCCACATATCAATCAATCATTACTCTGAGCACCATGCATCGCCAGACAAGGCCAGTGTTTTCGCACTGCCACCGATCTTTCGAAGACCGGTCGGCCACCTACCCTGTTTTTGATCGCTGGTACTGCCATTGGCGTTGCCGGCCTGGAGTGACCAGACCATTTGCCAACATTATCCGCCACCGACTGTATCCGATAGTCTGCGTCTAGTCCACGTGGGTACGCTACCCCACTGACTCTGATAATTCGCGATTTGTTTCTTGTTTAGAACTTGTTGTTTAGAACTTGTTCTCGCTCACTTCGCACTCAACTCAGCATGCCTTCCGCGCATGTGCGGAAGCACGAAAACGGCTGTTAATGAACGAATCACGAAACACTGAAGTTTGTGAGGCCATGCAAACCCACAGCCGCCGATTTTTGACCACAGCCGCCGATTCTTCGAACACCGCCGCACGCACCGAACCAGGCGGCCATGCTTTGACTTCTGTGCGCGCTGGCACTAGTTCCAAGTTTTTCTACGTGCGAGTTTAGCGGACCTTTCAAGCAAGCTACCCAGCCTGCCTCCTTCTCGTGTGCTTTGGTTTTCAAGGTCGCCCTTCCGCCACATTCTCTCCTCTCTTTATCGCAACACCTCGCCCTTCTCTCGCAAGTCTGCTCACCTCTCTTGATCACAACCCCTTCGCTCGTCCACACCGCTCTGCGACGCCCGCCACGCTTGCTTGAATTAGTTTCGTTTTCTGACGGGAAACGGGCCCAGAGCTGTTCCACGCGCTCTGGCATGTGGGTCGCGTGTGCGCGTCTTGCTCGCTCTTGGTGTGCATGTGTGGTCATGATTGCCGAAGGGAGGACTAGCATGCTTTTTCATGCCGCTCAACAGAACGTCGAAAGTGTAACAGCTTGGCTTGAGCGCAATTTACGCGTTAGGTGTGCTTGCTCATAGCTGTTGACCACCTGGCAGCCAACTTGCCGCTTTGGACGTCCCGGTATTCAGCTGTGGAGATGGTGAATATTTCGTGGGCGGCAGTGACGGCTACATGTGCGCGAGACTATTTTCGCAAAGCCGACTTCGCCGATTGTCGGGCCCGATGCCGAGCCTGAAGCTTCCGAACAGGACCACTGCGGTGGCGATTTGTGGCAGCACGTCGTCGACTCCGACCTGGGATAGCGGGTGGGACATCTGTTGCGATGATTTAATTACGGCCGATGATGATGCCGACACTGCGGAACCGTGCACGGATTGGGGCATTGTGAATGAAGTACGTGGCGAGAGTGATTTGGAGGAGTCGGATTGCGAGAACGACGAAGCTTTGCAGCCAGTGCCTCACGCAGCTTATGCCACGGGTCTCGGCAAATGAGCAGCCTGCCGTTTTAAATGCACTCGAGACCACCCTTATTGTTTCTGCTCTTCGAAACACGTGCATCACGGGCTTTTTGGGGCAAAAAAAGTTTGTTTTCACTTGCAACATTTTTAAAAGCTGTGTTTCATTTACTACGAACTTCGGGATACAGCGAACAAATGCCGCGTCACGCTCAGGTTCGTTATAAGCGGGCTCGACTGTAGTTAGTTTGTAGAATGAGCAACTATTCTGGGTTGAACATGGAGTGCAGAAGTGCCTGCTTAGCCTTTGTCACATACATAGAGCACAGTTTGCTCCTAATATGATAAGTAATAGCGTAAAAAGAAATGTAGACATGAGTCAATAGGAAAACATGTGCAAGAGGCGAGCCTTAGCACGTGCACCCAATACACTGTCTCTGAGCAGCGAACATCAGATTTTTCGAACCAGCTTGGGATCGCGAAATTATCTGAAAGATTGCGCAGTCTACAAATAACACCTAAATTTATACTTTTTGAGTCACCCAAGAGGTCCAATCATCAAAGCCCCACCCGAACAGCTCTGAAGCCACTTGTCAGGCATTGCACCTCCCTGGAACACCGGTCAACTACATGACAACTGCCAATTGCAAATCTGAATTCGTAATGAGCACTGCTGACACGAGCAAAGTGCAGAAGAAGGTGCAGCTCTATCGCACGACTGTTCTATGGCAAAAACTTGTGATATCAATGAGCAATTCGAAACACTTCACAATAAACACAAAGGCTGTGGCAAGAGAGCGTATGACCTGACCAGCTTTCCTGGATGCACGTGTGGCCCAGACAAAATGCCTGTTTTGATACGCAGCCCATGATACGCAGCCTTTGTTGTCGTGCAAAGCTGATCGTTCTTGGTTGTGTGCGGCACGTCGCCTACTAAGCTCACACTATAACTGCTGGAGTGTTTACTGCCCCATGATCATGCATTTGCCGTGAGAACATTCGTCATGCCCACTGTGTTATTAATTGCACACGTGCACGGTGATAGTGGGTTGCTCTGAATTCCTCAAATGATGTCATACAAAGAAATAACAATGAATAAAAACTGCACCCATAAGTGCACTAGGCCACATGCATTCCTGAGCAGTTGGGTTGGTAGATGCTTATCATACTGGCATGTTTTCTGTCTGTGACCACCAAGAATTAGTGAACTTGCACTGATAATTCGTAAAGGCATTGACCACACTCGTGTAATACTAGTAGCCACTATGGATTCTCGGTTTGCCTTACCGCATAACAGCATTGCATTGCTGAAAAGCTGTTTTTCAAGATTCGTTACGGACACAAGTGGATTAACACACAAAGGCACAGGATCGATTCAGCGAAGTACTTAACACGGCTGTGATGATGGCATCACTTAATGCCATTTAGGACTTAAAATTTGAGAGAAGTGTCCAAAAAGTTGGACTTTAAAGAAGTTTAGCATTCATAATTTCAGATACACAGACTTTACAGAGTTTCTGGTGGTGCCACGGAAGTCTTCCAAGCATGCTCGAAAAATCGGCAGTTGACCGTATGACCAATGCTACCATTATTCGAACACATGTAGCTGGCATAAGCAAGCAGGCACAAATTATTATAAGGGTTGTTTGCCCCCAATGCACACAAAAGTAAGAAAAAAAATTGGTCACATATTTGCGCGCCTCAATGTAAATGTCGTCGAAAAGCGATAGTTTTCAGCCGGCCTTCTTTTGTGCATGGAGTCGCATTTTTAGCACAGCCTCAGAAACACTAGGGTCTTTGAAATTGTGTATCCACACATCTTCTACTAAAGGAACACACCATCTGATACTTACATATTGATGTTGTACCTCAGATATGGGTAATATAGCTTTTTGATCGACAATGTTCACAAGTATGAACGCAGCCACCAGTTCAAGATGGCTGGGGTTCAGCAAATGTCAAGACTATCATCTTTAAAACACCAGCTAGCCACCTTGCTCAAACATTTTTGAAGTGATCAGAGGTGCCCCTGTCTTTGCTTACAATCCCAGCAATGAGTAGAGTGCAGGATTGCAACTATCTAGGCCCTTCATACCTTCGAAGCCTTTGCATAGATCCACAACCCACTTGAAGGCAGCAAGCAGCACCTGCAAGCAGCCACCCGACAGAAAGGCACCCAAGCGGCCAGGCTGAGGACACAGCACCGGGTAGGGCTGCACAGTCCACACAAGATGGGGCTTAGTGAATCTGCTTGAATGAATCTGTTGAATGTGCTGAAGCTTGTATATTAAGAGTGTTTATGTCAAGAGAGATGACTCAACGTTTTCCAGGCCACTGCATAAGCAAACCGCGCCTAAACAGGCTATTTGCACTAAATGACAAGCCACCATTAGTTGTTCAAACTGCATAGCACAAAAGCTAACTTTACAATTTTGAAAATGGTCTATTGAATAAGAACCGCAATCTTCAGTGATAACTATTAATACCGGCCCATTGTAATGACTGACAGCAATACACATTTTGCACAGGTTATATAGAATGAATCAGGCATAAAATGACGTAAGATAATGGAAATATTTGATGCACTGATTTCATAAAACTAAAGCAAGCATTGTTCGGTACAATGTGTTTGTCAGGGACAGCAGAGTGGAGGAATTTTCGCATTCTTTAAAATGAGTCCACGATGCCAGGGATTCGATTCCGTGACCTTCAGGTCAGGATTTGGGTACCATATCTAATAGACCACCAGGGTTGTTTTTTGCCAGAACTGGGCCAAGCCGCCGTAAAACAGAGGCTCATAACTGGGATCCCACTCAATGTTGCTGACATGTTGAGTCCAGGCATACAGACACGAAAAAAAAAAAAGTGATGGAGCAAGAGACGCCTGAACACTTGGTAACCTCGTATCTGAATGGGCATGGGTCCAGTTGCCCGTATGCTACCCCAGCTAACCTACCTACGTGCAAAATTTCAGCGCGTTGCACAGTGATGAAGAGACTAAGGAAACCAGCCTGTGGGTGCGGCGGTAGGGCATCTGCTTCGAGCGCCGCCTCGTGCAACGAATCCAGGAGAGAGGTGGCCACGGCCAGCGGGTCACCCGTTCCACCAGCACCAGGTGCCCGCTCTCCATTGGCCAAAGGCCGCTCATGATCGTTGCCCACACAGTCGCCGCTTGCTGGTGACAACGGTGTCTGCTGCGGCTGCGACAATGGCTGCTGGGAGCTCAGCTGGTGGCACGCGGCCAGCAGACGAAGCAGCAGGTTCCGCACACGCAGCCACACCACCTGCCACACCGAATGTTCAAGCAGATTTAATAACAAATGACTGAGCTAGGATAATCAACGTATACTTCAGAGCAGCATCTTTTGCCAGTCAGCAAACATAACACAGTCGAAACTCCCAATAATAAAATCGAGCAACTCTGATACATTTTCTTGTCCCTGGCGAACACCCATAAGATTCAATGCATTTCTCATCTCTCCACAACAAAATGTTGGTGAACTGGAATCCTGAAACAACAAATACTGAGCCAACATTTGTTCACACCACACAGGCTGGCACATAATCAGCACACTTAAAATGCACTCAAATGCATTCGCTTCGCACCAATGCATAACCACCTGACATGGGTCAACAGGACCAGATTACTAAATTTTTGCATAAAATTTTAGTTTTGCTGAGGGTTCCCTGGTTAGTACTGTGTTACAGTAGAATCTCGATGATACGAATTGGAAGGGGGCAAGCAAAATATTTGTATCATCTTGAATTTGTATGGACCAAGAACAAGTTAAAGCTGATCATGAAGGTGAACAAGATCTTTATTGGGGTCAAGAACTTCCTGCTGAAAGAAAGTCCATGATGTTCTTTTGAACTTTCCTGCTTTTACCGCCTTTTGATAAATTGCGGCAGTTTCCTCACTGATGCTGCTGGTGCTTGAAGCACATTCACATTTGACATCAAAGGGAGGGAAAGCAGCAAAACTTATTGGAAATGCACTCGCATTAAGTGGCCAAAAAAACGCGCCGCGATGTCGACACGGAAAAAAATGGGTTCTGAAGAATTCACACAACAGATTTCAAGTGATAATGCCAGAGTGGCCACATAACTGCATCCGTGCCCATCGAAAATGTTCACACTTGTTCTGCCCCTCCTATACACGCCTACACCTTTGCCGCTTGAGAATTTATTCCACATGACCCATTTCCTGAGCATTAAAATTCGTTCCGAGTTCTAGTTATGCATGCAAGTTTACGCCCGTATAAATGTTGTTTCGAGAAATACGCCAGCAGAAACAACACGAGCGAACCCATCGGCAGTGGCAACAGCGAATTCAGCCGGCAGTGCAAAAGTGAGTCCCGTTAGGGCATGCAGTCTTGCAGCTGCTGCACTTTCTACTTTTGGTGTCCACGGCAATCGTAATCCAAACCAGGCTCTCGATGAATGCATCCTTGTCAAGGCCGTGAGTTTTGTCGTGCTGGACGGTAGTTCGTGATTACGCTGACACCAGCCACCGCAGGCTCTTTTGCCACCATGTTGAATTTGGGGCTCCTTGTTTACATCATGCGGTTTGAGAGCTAGTGCAGCCCGTGTAGTGTTCTGTGATGTAGCAAAAGCCAGAACCTTTACTGCAGGATGTTGCGAATTCGCGACATAGAGAAAATACTTTGAGCAACTGAGTCACGAAATGCGTGCCATCTTTAATGCCAGCTGTCAAGTACTCATGGGGCATGTAGCTTTCATAAAAAATCTAGCGCTGTCTCGTCTAAAATATTATAAGCTAAAACCAATTGTTCCGGAGCTGATTGCGGAAAGAGTGAAGCACGTCCAACAGCTCTGGCTTCTTCGTTTTTTCTCACCTTGGAGACACAAGTTCTATATTCAATAATTTTGTTTACTTGTTCTGTATGCACTCAAGAGGTGGCACACAACATTTTACATAGTTCTGAAGTACGTTTTTTGTTGCAAGGTCTTCGCTTCTGTGGCATTTGGAGACCTCGCGACATACGCAAAAGTATGCATTAAAGTTGCATCTTAAATAATTTACTGCGGAATCTTGGAAAAGTTGGTAATTAAAGCTGGCAAATGAAAACAATATTTATTTTGCTCTGCTGTTTAATTATTATTTCAAGCATTAAAGAGGTAATAGCAGCAGGAATAGTAGCAGTGACAACTCGTGACCTTTTTTAACTAAACAGCAAGAGAAATGGTCTGCATGAAGACAAATTATGAAGGCTTTTAACCTTTTTCTTGAGTTCTTATAAAAAAAACAGAAAAGCACACTTGCCTCTTCCTGTCGCGTCCGCTCCAGGTATTCGTCCAGCAGTTTTCTAAGGAAAAAAAAAAGTGGTGGATGTGAGAGAGTGCTAGAATAACAAGACATAGAATGCCAAAAAGTGAAATGATTACCGTGCAGTGGAATCTCATGGAGACAGAACTTGAAGGGACTGAGAAATATGCTTCGTTTGACAGGAGTTTAATTTTGTTTGAAATACATAGATGGGTGCAGCACCAAAATAAAAAACCAACTAAACTCAAAGAATGTACTTCTGTAATTTCTGTTTACCAAGATTCCAATGTATTATCGAACCAAGGTTGCTGGCTGAACACAGGGATATTTACTGGAACAATCCTTTTGTCAGTGCATTTACAACAACAATAGTTAAAGGAATAATATATGGGGTTTAATGTCTCTAAACACTATGATTGTGAGAGATTCTACAGTGTAGAACTCTGGAAATTTTGACCAACTGGTATCCCTTAGGTGCTCCGACAAAGCACAGCACTCGAGCCTCTGCCATTTTGCATTCATTAATAAGCGACCACTGCAACCAGGATCGAACCAGCAAAGTTCTGGTCAGCAGACGAGCATCGTAGCCACTAATCCACTGTAGCAGACTTCCTTACAACAACAGTTAACTTTAATAGCTGAAATGACAAAACACCATATGCAGCAAGAAAGAAAACAGCAACTGGTGTCAAAGGAATCGAGGTAATACTAACTTAATACATTAAAACTTTGCAACCCCCAAAGGATTGTGAAATAAAAAGAGAATAATAATAACCGGTGAACTTAAACTTGAACACTTTTCAAGAGAGTTCTTGCAATGCGTCCTACTAATTTTTCAAATTTGAAAAAGCGTGTCTGATCAGGTATTGCATGGGCTCACAAAAAATCAGTGAATGGTAGGAAAACTAACTAGATGTAAAACATCCAGTACTCACAGGTGCATGACTATGGCTATGCCATTATTGTTTGCACAGATGATACAGAAACAAAAAAGATCAAAACAATAAAAAATAAAAAAAAAATAATGATGAGACAAACAGGCTGGCATTTGTAGTTTATGGCTGGTACAAAGATAGTTCAAATCTATATTATGGCTAAAATCCATAGAGCCCACTTTTGTCAGCAGTCAGAAGAAAAATTTAGATTTGCCTTTTATAAAAGGAATATTTCATTTGAGCTTGAATCAGCTCATAAAAGAAGTCTAAATCTGCGCAACTGAATAACACGAGACTTCAGAGAGACTGACCTTCGAGTGGCGCCCCATTCTCGGAAAATCCTAACGTCCCGGTTGTCGGTCAGCGCGCTCCACTCTGTCTTATCTGCAGCAGAGATTGCAGAAGTGTAGTTAGCTTGCACAGGTTTCATGTAGTGCACAACAAAACAATGAAGTGATGGCATATGCAGACAGTAGCTATACGAGTAAAATTTTTTTTTTGCCTGTCTGGACAAGGAGTTAAAATAGGCTTGGCATGCAGCAACAACACCGTACAAGGCAATGGACTGACAGCAACACGAGACAACTCATGCAAGCGTGCAAAAAAACGTACCATTTACTGGATCAATTTCCATGCCCGCGAGCGTCTGCTTCAGGGTTTCTTGGCTGCATGGTATGACGAATAAAGATGGGGGGAAAAAAACAATGTTACCAAAGACAGCAGTGTGAATGTTTGCTAGCAGGCCCTGGACGGGCATTGCAGGAACGAAAAACTCCTCTGGGTCATGGATATCGATTAACTCCCTTAGCCTATGTTTTTATCAATTTGCAGTAGTGCAACAGACGAAATAAAAATTTGGAGCAATTTTCGGAGCAGCAAGATGTTACTTTTGAAGCACTGAAATCCAAATATGGAGCAGTATGAAAAAAAAAGGCTACATTAAAAGAAAAAGTGCAAACCATTCAGCCTCCCCTAAATTGTGGCGAGTGAATATGAACACTGCTCTTTCAATTAAAGTAATAATTTGAGCCGCCCCATTCAGCAAACAATGAAAAAGTCCACATTAATATTTGCTACACCTGTCGATTCTTTTGACGGGCTCTGAGGAATCTGATGTGGATCTGTCAAGCTGGCGACCTTGAGATTGGGGAGATTTCTAAAACTGAGGAGTAGAGGTGGTGAAAAATGCAAAACAAACTGGTGTACAATCTTGTTTCATCTTTTGGGGGCTGCAAAAATATCATACACTGCTCTAAATGATATCCAGTAACAGTTTTGAATGGCAGCAATCATATTAGTACTTCCAATTACGTGGTGCACACACATGTTGACCAAACTGTGCTATGTTCCGTCTAATGCTAAAAGTCCTTTCCGAATCTTGAAACGCATTTCTACAGGACCCCAGCGAAAGTGGCTTATGCGACCTTCTGCACAGGTTGGAACAAGGCCAAAAAAATTTTTGAACCCCTACAACCCTGCCAATCCCCCCCCCCTTTCCCCTCTTTTTTACATGACAAGGTTAGGTTTCAGGGCACAACTCTGCTCACTTTTAGGGTGCATTTGACTAGGTAAAGTAACGGCACGCACCCATTGGCCTGGCGATGGCACCGGATATTTATCGCATGTGCCGTTGCCGTGGCAACCAACGTGATTGCTGGCAACTGCGGCGTTTGCAGCCCATAAAGGTTGTAAGCGTACAGTGAAACCCAACATCTGCTTCCCACAATAGTTCCTGACATGCCATAGATGCAATTGCCAACTAGGGACTCTGGTACAGCAACGCATTTTTGTCTTGAAGTTATGTCGTCCTACTGATAGAGCATCTGCTATGGTCAGCCGACCGATGGGTACACGACGTTGTTACTTTATCAGGTTGATCACGTTTCACAATCTTATACCGTGGGTTAGGGTCTGCATGCTTGGATCTCTAGACTGATTGATAACACAACCTACATTTCTTGCTGAAATCAGCCCAACTGAGAAAACGTTTAAGCTGGTCAGGCATTTTGGCACAGCGTGGTTCAATTTCAGCAAATTTTATGGTTTTGGCTCAGCTCGGCACAAAAATGGGGAATCGTATCAAATTGGCACGGGTGTGGCACTCTTGCCTTTAATTCTGCAGAGTTTGTAGGACAACGCCAATTGCCTAATCAGAGCACAGATCAGAAAGTTTCCTACCATAAGTGTGCAAGGAAAAAATTCTAGACGTCATGCCTAACTTATAAAACAGCAGAGCAAGCTCTAATAAGTAAGTTTCACTAAAGATTCAGGGGGCTCGGCACCAATGCTTGTTTGTCCAGACACTAAGGTTTCTCTTCGAGCAATGTGACATTCAGCTGCCACTGATGAGAGGAATAACATGCACTACCGCGCACTCTCACCTCTTAGCCTCAAGCAGCAGCTCCAAGATCATCTTTTCGGCAGTCAGCAGAGCGAAGTGGAGAGAGTTGTTCAGCCGCTCACGAAACCTCATCATCTCCTGAATCTGAAAGGCAATGCCCACATTCCACATTCAAATCTTCGTGCTTCTCAGAGCTTTGAGGTGTTGCACCTGTAAGAGCCAACTCTTATAGAGCAAGGCACAGTGATAGAGTTTGGGCATTAGAAATGTGCCGAGCTGTGCCACCTCGTTTTTCCTGCACCAACCCTTATACCACGATCTAGTGGCAAACAGCGCTGTGCTGCTGCCAATGTGCGCAGCTCATTGTGCTAACATAATGTGGGGGGTGTCTGTACAGACCAATCAGCTTGAATGTTCACTTCATGAAAATAAAATGTTATCAGGGAAAAAAAAGTGTGCCAATGCCATTGATTTCCGCAGGCAGTGGCCAGAAACGGTGCCTTCTGATTGGTTGGGGCAGGTTGCTGCGCGCTCAACGCTTCTTACAGCAGGTTAAAATATACTAAACTAGTGGATCGGTAGTGTGAATCTGAACTTTGTACTCCAGCGGCCATACGAACTTTGCCATTCATATGCCAGAAATTCATTCCGTGAGGTTTGTCCTTCATTAATTTAAAGCAACAAAGTCCCGGCATTATGGTGATTTTCAATTTTTAATGAAATTTTAATAGGAATGCCTTTAATACATACATTATGACCTGCATGCAACACATAATCCAGTTTAAGGAACATTTATAAAAAGAGAATAATTTGTCCGCTATCAACAACTATTTTCCTGATGTCAGTAATGTAATGATTGCTGAAGTTTAGTGAACACCAAAAGTTGAAAGCTTGGTTAATTTTCAATTACAAGACTGTTTTTTTAACTCGTTTCACAGGAATTCTGGTGTCGATGTTGGCACTGTTGGTTACGAGCGAAAAATCATCTTATGAGTGACCGAAAAATCGAGAATGATGCAAATAAAATAAGTAAATGATAAAAATACTGGAGCAGAGTGCAGATCGAACCGGGGTTGTTTGGGTCTGAATGGGGATTGAACCCAGGTCGTTTGCTTAGCAAGCGGATGTTCTACCACACGGCCACGCCTCTGCTTGTGAAAACAGTGAAAAAACTTCCTCTGCTTAGAAATGCAGTGGAAGTAGCTTTCATGCTTCACAAACACATGCATCTTGTATACATTCTTCGCAATGCAACATGAAATATTACAGTAATAATGCGTGGCACAAGCGTCCATTGCCAACAGATGTCAGAACATGTGATTATCATAATGGCTACGTGGTTGAAAGCCGGTACCCCACTACAAAAGGCACACACACTACTTCCCATATTCCCTTAAGACCACGTATAGCCAGTGCATAGCAAATTCGAAAAGGTTTCATGCACTAAGTGTTCCAAATACGCACTAGGAACAGGATGTTGCTATCGCGTTCAACTCCTAAAGGCAAAGCTTTAGGGTCCTACAATTTTTTTAATGAATTTTCTCCAACACTGCATTCAAGAGGGTGCAATGCATGCAATGAACAAGCTTCAAGTCGCAACACATGTGTAAACACATTAGCAAGAGGCCAGATGTCCAACTCTACTCACTTTTGCGAAGGAGCCATACTTGTAGCAGGCAATGAGGTAGTCTGTAGTCTGCAATAACGTTAGTAATAATAGGAATCTTCAACAGGTCTTATTAATTTGTCCTTCTTTGCTGCCCAAGACCGACTGAGAAACTAATCTACCTATATACAAAGCACAATTTGATAATTTGAATCTCAGAAAATTTGCAACACTACCATCTTCATTTTTCAATCTCAGCATCACTAAAGCAATGTACATACACTCAAACCTCAATATAACGAAAAATCAGTTACAACGAAGTAAATGAAAAAAAGTCTTGCAACAGGTACAATGTTAGGAATATACCTTTACAAAAGAATTTTCGGATATAACAAACTTACTTCAACCTTGTTATAGTAAGGTTTGAGTGGACTTGCTTTTGTGATTTAGCAAAGTTTGTTCCGCAGTTTCCAAGTTAACGAAATCCATCAAGTAACACGCAACTTTCATTCCCCAATCTTAGCACCATTTAGCAGCCAAGAATTTCTATTCTTGATATAGTGAAGCAATTTCGTACTACAGTACAATTTAACGAAATCTTTGTGCACAGCATACACAAAACTGGTTGCTCTGATGCACAAATGAAAGGTTGGCAAACATTGGAGGAGATGCGTTTATTCCTTCGCAGGCAAACTTTCGTGTAGAAGAAAACTTGCTGAAGAGACGACGGCAGACTACTTGATCGATTAACGTTGCAGTAAAGGCAGGAACGATTTGTTGACAAACAGGAGGACTTGCATACGTTTGTCACAAAGCTTGGGTGAGAAAGCAATGGTTAGAAGGTGCTGCCACTTACGTCCTTGAAGTTACCGGTGAAGAGCTTCAGTGAAGTGTGCATGTTAGTATTGGCTGTCTGGAAATGGCCTGCCTTCAGGTACACTGGCGTGACCAGGTAGCTTGCAATAATAAAAAAAAAGTCATTCATTTTCAATTGCTTCAATAAGGTGCTTCACCTGAGGGTTCTAGTATTCTATTGAAGTTTACATGAACAACCTCTCATTGCTTATATTTTTGTCTCGACAAACCGAAAGAGACTAAGAGGAATTTAAACGTTTAGTTATACGAGCTTACCATGAATTAAATTGGTTTGGCCACTGGTCAGCAGTCACCTTAAAATGCCACCCCCAAAACGAACCAAAGTGAAAAAACTCATAGTCGATTACAGTAATGCAAATTTCGATGCCATTAATGACGACCTGTCGAACTTCGTTGCTTCCTTTTTTGTCCAGTTCACTGATCGCTCTGTACAATCGAACTGGGATATTTTTGCTGCAAAAGTAGACGAACTTACTAAGAAATACATTCCTAACCGAACCATCATTTCTAATCACCAGGCAATATGATGCAACACCTACATCGAACACCTATCTAACCGTAAAAAACGACTTTACAGATCAGCGCACAACGCTTACCTTACCGCCTTAAAATCTTTTAAATTACATTGGCTTTCTCGAACTGTCCCAGATATGCTTGCAAGTAATGTACGTAAATTTTGGCACGTAAATTTTGGCACCTTTACGAGATAACAGCATAGTTCTAGTAGATAATTTTGACAATCCAGTTCCTACTGACACGTGCGCCGATCTTCTTAATGACACTTTTAAAAAACTTTTCTCGAGTTGATAACGTCATCCAACCCCATGTGCAAAACTTCAATTATATTGCCATGCCACCAATTTACATTGATAATTCCGGTATCGCTAAACTCATAGATAACTTGCCCATTCACTCATCCCCTGGCAATGACAATATTGGTACCAAATTTCTGAAAAGCACCGTACCGTTACTTACAGTTCAGTGATACTAACAAGAATCTTTCAACAGTCCTTAGATACATCAACCATTTCTACACAACGGAAAATCGGGAGGGTGGTCCCAATCTTTAAGTCTGGTAATAAACACTCTCCGAAAAATTATCGCCCTATTTCATTAACAAGCACTTCCTGTAAATTATTAGAAAATGTCATTTTCACTAACCTTATTAACTTCCTTGAATCGAATTCTTTTTTTACACCAGCACAACATGGTTTTCGCAAACATTTTTCATGCGAAACACAGCTCATATATTTCACTCACAAACTGCATCAGATTTAAGACCGTTCATCATGTGCTGATTGCATTTTTTTAGACTTCAGTAAGGCTTTCGATAAAGTGTGTCACCAACTACTACTCTTTAAACTAAGCCTACTAAATATTGACAATAGTTTACTTAAGTGGATTGAGTGTTTCTTGTTTAACCGTGTTCAATACGTTACTGCTGACAATCACAGTTCGTCATCTGCTGCGGTCCACTCAGGTGTACCGCAAGGGTCAGTTCTTGGTCCAATTTTGTTTCTAATTTATATTAATGACCTCACGTCTTCACTTTCTTCTAACATTCATCTTTTTGCAGATGACTGCGTCATTTTTCGTGAAATAACCAGTAATAATGGCAGTCTAAGCCTCCAATCTGACCTTAACACAGTAGCAGCTTGGTGCAGCACATGGCGAATGGACTTAAACATCGCTAAATGTAACGTAGTGCGCTTAACTAGATCTGCTAACACCCCACCAAAATACTACTTAAGCAACGTACCGCTTGATCCAGTCTCCTCGTATAAATACCTGGGCGTTCTTATCACATCTCACTTATCTTGGGCACCCCACATCGCATACATTACTAATAATGCTAATCGCATGTTAGGCTACATACGTCGTAACTTTTCAAAAGCACCTTCTGCACTAAAACTTCTGTTGTACAAAACATTAATACGTTCCAAACTTGAATATGCATCATCAGTGTGCGATCGTTACTATAATAACCTGGTTACTTCATTTGAGCGCGTACAGAATAACTCCGCCCGTTTCATACTTTCTAACTACAACCGCATTGCCAGTATCAGTTCAATGAAATCCAGCCTAGGCCTTTCTTCCCTTGCATCCCGTCGGAAAATATCTAGTTTGAGTACATTTCACAAATTATTCCATCATTCCACCCTACATAACCAATTAATCCTCAATCCTCAGTACATATCCCATCGCATCGACCATCGTCATAAGGTTGGAATCGCATCCTGCAACTCCCAGTGTTTTTATCGATCATTTATACATCGTACATCAGTAGATTGGAACCACCTTCCCGAATACATCGTCACTATTACTAATAACAATATTTTCCGTCCAACATTACTCAGTATTGTATGAGCTAAACGTTATTTAAAATTGTATTATGTTCACCGTTGTTGCACAGCTACTTTTGTATGATCAGGAGTTTTTCTTTACTTTTTTATTTTTATGTTTGTTGCATTGTTTATTCTCATGCTGTATTTTCTCTGCTGTACATTCTGCTGTATAACATGTATTTTCTATGCTGTATATTCTCATGCTGTATTTTTCTTTTCCTTGTAAACTTTATTTCCACTCCCCTCTATAATGCCATATGGCCCTGAGGGTAAATAAAATGAAAAATGAATGAAAAAAATTTATCCTCCCTTATTAACACTTATCAGCCCTATATTTCATACAGGGCTAATGATTCTTCACTCAACTGAGGAATATCACCCTCGCACGTGAGGATGCATTTCATAAAAATTGTGCTGACAACAAGATTTCTGCTAAATACAAAACTTTACTCAATTTCTAAAATGTAGATGTGTGCTTTAGGGCGATTCTGAACAAAAAGGGAATAGCAAGTTTCCATTCTGATTCATGAGGTAGGAGGTAGTGCCACTCTCCTTACAATCGGTGAACTCCACATTGAGCGACAGAATTTCTACACAGCAAATAATTCTACAGAGACACAAATGTAAATATAGGGCATGAAAAAAAAAAGAATAGATAATGTAAGTGCAATTTACGCTACGTTTTCCCATAAACTACCAGTACTAGTTTCAATTGCAAGTATACTGTTGCAATGAAGCTGGACCATGTTTCATGTGGGGTCAAAATGAGGCGGACGTACACTCACCCCAATGTGTCGTGCTGAATGTGCTTGATGTCGAGTAGTTCGGCAAAATGCTGGCACGCGGCTGCAGAACCTGCAGCAACAGATGCAGCAGTGCATGCACTCAGAGTGGCAGATTGATACTATTATTATCTGGGGTTTAATGTGCCGAAACCACGAGAGCTTTGGAAAATTCAGCAACCTGCGGTTCTTCAACAGGTTGCACAAGGCAAAAGCCAAAGGCAAATCTATAAAGGGACCTTGCAACTGGCTCTTTATCACTATGCTGGATAAAGGTGTTGGCAAGCAGTTTATTATAATCCACTTAAACTGGCACAAGTGAAACCTGCCCTGCCTTATCTCCCAGCCCTCATTCAAATCTATCACGCAAGTTAAAATTCCTTTCGTTATAATTAGACCCTAAATTCTTTATCATTAGTATGCTCCACCATGCAGCAACAGTCAGAATGCTGCCACTATGCAAGGCAAAGAAGGAGAGTATCTCTAGTGACAGCGGCTGTCATTCATTTCGAGTGATGTTATGACAACAGGACGGTTTTAATCTTTTTAACCCCTTTAAACAGACCAGCCCTTGAGGTAGGTGAGAAAAAAAACAAAAACGTATAGGAATAAAAAGACGACACTGCGGTGAACAGCTCAGCCAAATCTTGCATGATGATGATGATGTTTGATGTTTTATGGCGCAAGGGCCATTTCACGGCCAAAGAGCGCCAGTTCATCTTACTAAAAACATGGACAATGATTGTGATAAGCGGCTGTATAAGGGCCATAAAATTCCTCGCGGTAAGGCGGGTAAAAACATACAAGTAATAAAATCATGACCATGTCGTGAAAGGTGTGTGCGGTGTGAATAGATGACAAAAGTTGGTGATAATAAAAGACGATGGTGGATATGTATGGCATTAGCACAAGTGCCTCACTCGTTCATACCCTTGCGTCCAAGGGCCGTGAGGCAAGTGCTTTCTTGTGTAACCACCGCAGCAAAAACCTCTCTGGGGAGGCCATGCTACGGGATGCCCGGGTATATGATGTGAAAACTATGAATTTCTTTAAAAAACGCTAACAATGATTTGTGACTAAAAAGCGGTTCCCTACCGACGAACATTGCAGGGTGTAAAGGTATATGTTGTCGGTAGGGTAATGGAAAGTGTTGTTTTCTTACAGTGTCCAATTGTTTGCACTCAATTAAAATGTGAAGGACTGTCAATACTTCACCACATCTGTCACACAATGGTGGATCGCCACCGGACAAAAGGTGTGTGTGTGTCGTGTATGTGTGTCCTATCCTGAGTCTCGTTAGTATTACCTCTGTATGACGCGATTTCGATATGGGCAGCCAATGACCAAGGTGTGGCTTAATAACGTGTAGTTTGTTTTGTGTGTGTGTATCCCACTTGCTCTGCCAGTATACTCTGAGGTTTCGTTTGAGAGACGGCTTAAGATCAACGGCCGGGATTGATATGGGTGTAGGGGCAGTGCTTTTGTGGACGGATGCAGCGAGCTGATCCGCCCTCACGTTGCCTTGAATCTCACGGTGCCCTGGCACCCAGCACACTACAACATGTTGTTTGAGTGTGTATAGTGTGCATAAAATGGAGTAAAGTGAGACAAGGACTGGGTTTTTGTGTTTTTTAAGAGTGTGCAGAGCCGTTACTACACTGAGGGAGTCTGTATATATTACTGCGTTTTGTATTTGTAATTGCTTGATGTGTTTAGCCGCCACAAGTATCGCGTAGGCTTCCGCTGTGAAGATACTTGTGCCTGGATGTAGAGGGCCAGCATCCGAAAAGGATGGGCCGACAGCAGCGTAGGACACAGAGGAGTTAGACTTGGAGGCATCTGTAAAGAACTCAGGACGTGTGTATTTGTGTTGAAGTTCCAGGAAGTATGTTCGGATATGGGCAATAGGCGCATGTTTTGTAACTTCAAGAAAGGACACATCACAGTCTATAGTCTGCCATTGCCACGGTGGCAGATATGCTACAGGAGCCATTAAACTATGTTCAAGTGAGACTCCAGTTTCCTCAGCTAGACTTTTCAGGCGAACTGAGAAGGGCTGCCTCATCGAAGGCCTGTTTTGAAACAGAATGGAGCTCGACAAATCAATAATAGTGGAGTATGAGGGGTGCTTCTTATCTGCTTTCACCTTAAGGAAATAAACAAAGGACATGTAAGTTCTCTGCAGATGAAGCGACCACTCATTTGACTCAACATAAAGGCTTTCTACGGGGCTGGTGCGAAAAGCACCCGTAGAAAGGCGGATGCCCAAATGGTGCACGGGGTCCAGCATCTTCAAAGCACTTTGTGTTGCAGACTGATAAACAATGGCCCCATAATCTAAGCGGGTGCGAATGAGGCTTCGATACAGATTCATGAGACATTGCCTGTCACTACCCCACGTAGTACGTGACAACACTTTTAAAACATTCATGGCTTTTAAACATTTTGTTTTTAGATACTTGATGTGCGGTACGAAGGTCAACTTGTTGTCCAAGATTAATCCTAAGAATTTATGCTCCACATTGACAGACAGACGTTGACCGTTCAATTCAATGTCAGGTTCTGAGTGCATGCCTCTCTTTCGGGAGAACACGACACACGTGCTCTTTAGTGGGTTCAGTCGGAATCCGTTTTTCTCTGCCCATTTGGAGACCTTGTTTAAACCTAACTGAACCTGTCGCTCACACATTACCAGGTTGCAAGATCTAAAGCCAAGCTGGACGTCGTCGACATATGTACAATAAAACATATTGCGAGGGATGGACAAGTGCAAAGAATTCATCTTGATGAGAAAAAGTGTGCAGCTAAGTACACCACCTTGTGGCACGCCTGTTTCCTGGACGAATGTTTGGGAAAGAGCCGTGCCCACTCGGACACGGAATGTCCGGTTTGACAGGTAACTTTCGATTATGTGGAACATTCTTCCACGCACGCCAAGGTGGGACAGGTCTCTTAGAATTCCGTAACGCCATGTAGTATCATAAGCCTTTTCGATATCGAGGAATACAGAGAGAAAATATTGTTTATGGACGAAGGCGTCCCTGATCTGTGCCTCGATACGAACAAGGTGGTCTGTGGTGGATCTACTTTCTCGAAACCCGCACTGAAATGGGTCGAGCAAATTGTTTGTTTCAAGGAAATGTACAAGTCTGCAGTTTATCATTTTTTCGAAGATTTTGCACAAGCAGCTTGTGAGTGCAATAGGCCTATAACTCGAAGGTAATGAAGGGTCCTTGCCCTCTTTCAAAATGGGAATTATAATAGCCTCTTTCCAGGAGTTAGGGATAGTGCCAGAAAACCAGATAGCATTGTACAAACAAAGTAAGGTTTTTCGTGTTTCGATCGGTAGGTTTTTTAACATTTCATAAACGACACGGTCAGAACCTGGAGCAGAAGTACTGCAGGAGTTTAGAGACATTCGCAGCTCAGCTAGACTGAACGCTTGATTATATGCCTCGTATCTAGTGCATTTGTGTTCGAGTTTCTGCTTTTCTATTCTTGTTCTGTATTTTTGGAAAGTATCAGTATAGTGGGATGAGCTGGACACCTGTTCGAAGTGTGCACCGAGGAAGTTTGCCTGATCTTCCAAGGTGTCACCCTGAGTGTTTACGAGTGGAAGTGTGTGTACTTGTTTTCCTGCTATCCTACCGACCATGTTCCAGACTTTAGCTTCCTGTGTGTATGAATTGATCCCTGACAAAAACTTCTGCCAGCTTTCTCTTCTGGCCTGCCGACGCGTTCTCCTGCCTTGAGACTTTATTTTCTTGAAGGTGTCAAGATTTTCGGCTGTCGGTGAGTTCCGAAGCAGCCTCCAAGCTCTGTTTTGCTGTTTGCGCGCGTTTCGGCATTCAGAGTTCCACCATGGCACACGCCGTTTTCCAGGGTGTCCATTTGTTTGTGGGATGCATTTTGTTGCAGCATCAATCAAAAATGCTGTGAAGTAGTTGACAGCAACATCAATGTTCAAAGTACTTATGTCATTCCAACCTAGACGAGCGATGGTATAAAAGTGTTCCCAGTCGGCCCTGTTTATGAGCCACTTGGGAACACGTGATGGACACTCAGTTACTGTATTTGTGCTCAAAACTATGGGGAAGTGGTCACTTCCGTACAGATTACTGACGACTTTCCACTGGAGTAGAGGCACAAGAGATGGAGATACTATGCTTAGGTCTATGGAGGAGTAGGTTTTATTGGCGAGATTATAATAGGTTGGTTCTTTCCGATTTAGGAGACACGCGCTCGAGGAGAGAAGGAACTGTTCAATCAGTCGACCTCGTGCGTCATACCGAGAGTCACCCCATAGCCTGCTATGCGCATTAAAGTCTCCAAGGAGAACATAGGGCTCCGGAAGTTCATCAATTAAAGAGTGTAAATCACGTTTTTGCAGCTGATAGCTAGGAGGGATGTAGATAGTGCAGATTGTGATCAGTTTGTCAAAAAGAACTGCTCGAACAGCCACTGCCTCAAGAGATGTTTGGAGTTGTAAGTGTGTGCATGCAATTCCTTGATTCACTATGATGGCAACACCTCCGGATGATGTCATAGCATCAACACGGTCCTTTCGGAAAATAACATATTTACGAAGAAAGTTTGTGTGTTTTGAGTTAAGGTGTGTTTCTTGTACACACAGCACTTTTGGAGAGTGTTCGTGTAAGAGCTCTTGGATGTCGTCAAGGTTTCTGAGAAGGCCCCTGACGTTCCATTGTATAATTTGAGTGTTCATAGTGAATGTAAAATAGTGCTCTGTGTACGAAAAGCGAGTGGCTGTTTAGACAGGTAGTTTGAGTTCACTTAACAGGGCCGTCACCAGGCCCTGTTATGGGCTTTTTTGTTTTCTTGGCGCGCTCCAAGGAGCCACGCCGCTCTTTCGGCACCACGGGTACCGACGTATCCATTGCCTCCTCGGATGCACTGGATGCCCGCACGTGCGGGCTGCTACTTCGAATTTCGGGCCTCGCCTGGTGAGGTGAGGCCTTGAGACCCGAGGACTCTGGAGTCTCCGGTCTCTGTTTGGGAGTAGGCGGTGTAGCCTGGGCTACAGCCGCCTTGGGGGCAGGTGCCACAACCTCCGGCTCGGTATGTGCGGGCCGAAGGAGTGGCGAGGGCTGGTGCGGCGGTGCCCCCTGACGCGCCGCATCAGCGTATGTAGCTCCATAGAATGGAGCGACTCTTCGCCGTGCTTCCTTAAATGTAATGTTCTCCTTCACCTTCAACGTAATTATTTCTTTTTCTTTTTTCCAGTATGTGCAGGAGCGTGAGTATGCGGCATGGTTTCCTTCGCAGTTTACACAGTGTGGCGGTTGTTTGCAGTTCTTAGACACGTGGCCTAGGACTCCACATTGCGCACAAGTCTGGCGACCACGACAGGTTTTAGAACCATGGCCATACCTCTGGCATTGGAAGCAACGACGAGGGTTTGGTATGTACGGCCTGATAGATGTCTTTGTGTACCCTGTTTGAATAGATTCCGGTAGTTTACTGGATGCAAATGTGAGTATTAGGTGTTTCGTCGGTGTTTCCTTATTATCTCTTCTAATAATGATTCTCTGCACATTAGTGACATTTTGGCTCTTCCACCCCTCCAAAAGTTCAGTCTCAGTCAAGTCAAGTAAGTCCATGTCAGATACCACTCCGCGAGTTGTGTTCCATCGATCTATGTGGTGTTATGGTTATTGGTATGCCACCGAAATCTGAAAGACGGTCTAGCTTTTCAAACTGTTCTTTGTCACGGATTTCGAGGAGAAGGTCTCCACTAGCCATTTTGGTTACCTTGTATCCTGTGCCAAGAGTTTCGGTAAGACACCTAGAAACCAGGAAAGGAGAGACGGTTCTGGCTTTCTTTTCAGTTTTTTCACAGTGGATAACATGATAGTGAGGATATGTTTCTTTGGGCTGGTTAAAAAAGTTTATATCATCGGTGCGTACCCGCTTTAAGCAGGTACGATCAGATAGTAAGGGGAATGCTCTGTGCATGCCTGTCTTATTTTTGTTCAGCAGGAGGTAGTGCCACTCTCCTTACAATCGGTGAACTCCACATTGAGCGACAGAATTTCTACACAGCAAATAATTCTACAGAGACACAAATGTAAATATAGGGCATGAAAAAAAAAAGAATAGATAATGTAAGTGCAATTTACGCTACGTTTTCCCATAAACTACCAGTACTAGTTTCAATTGCAAGTATACTGTTGCAATGAAGCTGGACCATGTTTCATGTGGGGTCAAAATGAGGCGGACGTACACTCACCCCAATGTGTCGTGCTGAATGTGCTTGATGTCGAGTAGTTCGGCAAAATGCTGGCACGCGGCTGCAGAACCTGCAGCAACAGATGCAGCAGTGCATGCACTCAGAGTGGCAGATTGATACTATTATTATCTGGGGTTTAATGTGCCGAAACCACGAGAGCTTTGGAAAATTCAGCAACCTGCGGTTCTTCAACGTGTTGCACAAGGCAAAAGCCAAAGGCAAATCTATAAAGGGACCTTGCAACTGGCTCTTTATCACTATGCTGGATAAAGGTGTTGGCAAGCAGTTTATTATAATCCACTTAAACTGGCACAAGTGAAACCTGCCCTGCCTTATCTCCCAGCCCTCATTCAAATCTATCACGCAAGTTAAAATTCCTTTCGTTATAATTAGACCCTAAATTCTTTATCATTAGTAAGCTCCACCATGCAGCAACAGTCAGAATGCTGCCGCTATGCAAGGCAAAGAAGGAGAGTATCTCTAGTGACAGCGGCTGTCATTCATTTAAAGTGATGTTATGACAACCGGACGGTTTTAATCTTTTTAACCCCTTTAAGCAGACCAGCCCTTCAAGTAGGTGAAAAAAAAAAACGTATAGAAATAAAAAGACGACACTGCAGTGAACAGCTCGGCCAAATCTTGCAGCTACGGTATTTACATGACTGTAAGTAAACTCGAATGTAGGTCAACACTCCTATAATCACAAGACAGAAAAACGAAAGGGGTGGGGAAATCGGAGCATACTTCATAAAAAAAAAAGTTCTTTTTCCATGAACCCTTCGGTGTGCCAAAGTGGTTTTATGGCAGTGCTTGAAAGCTGAGCGGAAAAGCTAGCTCTGCAAAAATGGGCCAAAATGCATACAAAATGATGTGCAATAGTTCCAATGCAGCAAGTATATGTACATTTAAAAAAGTTACAACTTTGCTGAAAAGGCAAAGTAATGAACGCAATAGCAACAAATTGGAAGGTCACAAGAAGAATGGCAAGCAGATCGAAATGTGCCCCACGTTTCTCACACATAACTGATGCACAAAACATACTCACAGGTACAGATGAACGCGAATAAGTGTCACAAATGCTACTTCGCTGTCTGAAAAGCGTGCCCTTTTTGCAAACGGAGACTGTGAAGAGAGTGAAGTGACCTTTGAGCACCCGGTAACTACAACAGAATTGTTCGGTGAAAGCCCAAGGCGTACAATCCTCCGCACCGCAAGATAAGGGTGCACACGCGTGAGCGCCCAGCCCTCCTCTACGTGAGGCAAATTACATATAGAAAATGAGAAAGTGCGCCGCCCCATTGTCACGATATGGCGACAAGCGCTTATTGTGCCATCTCGCTGGTAGTGCTGAAAACATGATAGTTCCCCTGAGATGGCCATCGCAGTGATGGAAGTGACATTTTGATTTTTGGAGCAGATTATGGAGCAGAAAAAATACTAGCCTAAAGCAGCTATTGGTGTTTTTGAAGCTTAAAGCAAAATATTCCGAACGACTCCTGGAGTTCCCATATACATATCTTAATATATACTATCAAACATATTGCACATACAATACTCACTTCAAATTGCAAGAATCATAATAAATGAATGGTCTTTGAACACCAAGTAAGTGTTTTTATATTTTTCAAAAGTAGTCAGCATTGAAATTTTCAAACATCAAATAAGCTAAATGAACTAACATTTCAAATTCTTGTTCTTGGGACACAAACGAGGTCAAAGCTGATAAAAGTCCTAAACGTAACCAGTCGCATATCAAAGTTCTCACAGGAGCGGCTAGTATGAATAAGAAGTCTCGCATGCATTTCACCAAAATAGTCTGTTATTAAAGTACATATACACAACCATATCAAATATATATGAAAATGTGAGTAGTCTAGCATTCTCAATATTCTAGTATACAGCTACTATACAAGCTGTATACTATATAACAGTATACAGCTTATTTTTGTTTTCATTTAGGCTTGCTCGATGGTCACATGGTTTAACTTCAATGTTTTAGTTTCCCCCATGCCATTTCGGAGCAGGTTGGGAGCAGTTACTAACACATATTGCACTTTAGAGCAGCACGAAGCAGCATTTCTCTTTTGGAGCAGTTCGGAGCAACTGGAGCAGCACGTCCGTCATTGCCATCGGCAGCGGTAAGTGGTAGATATAAATAGCTTGCTGTTCTAATGATGAATGAGGAGCTCCTTCGTGGCTCAGTGGCTAACGCCTCACACTCGCAAGCAAGAGATCGGGTGCTCGATCCCACGCGTTGTGAGTCTTTTTCTGGATTATTCTTCTTTCTTGTGTTTCATATATATAGATACGTATGCATATACGGTGAATGACGGCAAAACCGACAGCACAATCTAGTAGAGAGTGTCCCTATAATTGCTATCGCAATAAAAAGAAAATAAATTGCAGCACAAACGAAGTGCACTTGTTTAATCATCAGAATTAGCACGCACTGTAACCAGTCAGATCCGGTCACGATCGCTGATCGAAAGGTTCGATTGAGAATCATTGTGGCGGCGATTGTCACCTGCCTACTAAAACGCATCGTCCTCGGTTCCGCTGAGCGCATTCGAATGCCCCATTTTCTAGTTCTTGAAACTCTTCTTGACAACGCTGGGAAAAACTAGGTTCCATGACATGACAATACTGCAGAGCCTAAGCGTTCGCACATAATTGAAAAGGCCTTTTTTAATGGCAGAAAACTTCCATTAGCAAGGGCACACTCTTCTTTCTCCCGTACAGATCTTGTTGATCGTTGCACGCTGAAGAACTTCACACTGAAGCGCTTGGCAGCAACATGGTTTCCATTTTCTTCCAGAAACTTGAGAACAGTGAGCTTCACTTTTGCCATATATAAAACTATTGTAGCCCATCGCAAGGGAACAGTGAAACCATGACAGACGGATGGCGAAACTTAAGCTTCTGAAATCAACTACGCATGTGTTCGAGTACGGATGCAGAGAACAAGAAAAACAGCTAACCCGGACGTGGGCGTGGCAGGCCTTTGCACACCTCCAATGCAGAAAGTTGTCTGTGCTATGACGAGAGTGTACATTCTCACGGTGGAAGAGATGAGAAGACAAAGGGAGGCAAACAGTCAAGCACGACTGTGACCCGCCAACAAGTTTGAGTGTTCGGGTACGATACTCTAGGGACCCTAGTTCCGGGGAAGTCCATGGAAGAAGAGACTTCGCACTCACAGACCATTTGAATGTGCTGGCCTGCTCGGCTAATGCACGTGCCCGGCCCGCCGATCTAAAGCATAGAAAAATCAAGTATCCTCGTGCGCATGCTGGCGAACTGGCTCGGGCGGATCGGAGAGCGCAAAATATGCAAGTAAATATTTTTTTAGTAAAGCTGGCAAAATATTATGGGTGTACAAATTATGCGAGTAAATATGATAGTGTTCGATTCTAGGCCAGCTCCTCTACTTTGGATTTCAAATTAAGACTAAATGTGTCAACCTATGGTTATGTAAATACACTGGCACAGCAAAAAGTGTTCGTAAGCAAAGCGTGAAATCCCCACTTTCTCAAGTGCCTCCACAACGTACAGAGACCCATATTCGCGCTTCCGGAGGGCTGTCATAAGAGTGGATATTTCATTGCGCAACAGATTGCTGCTATAGGTAAATAGCTGGCATAAGCCAAGAGCGACGTTTCGATCAGATGCCCTTCTTTCTGTGAGGTGCTGCCATGCACTGCTTGCCACACTAAAGAGTCTGCTGAAATTACGCAGCTATAGTACTAGCGCTCTCCAGAATCCCAGCTGGAAGAGCGATCATATTTTATGAAGCATGCGTAATGTAGCTTCTTCTCTCCCCGTGCCATCGCTCCCTGTGCACTCGCTAGGGTGAGAGTAAAGTGCAGAAAGCATGCAACAAAACTCTGCAACTTTACTCTTGCTCTCAAAAATGTTTTGCGGTGATCCATTCGTGAGACAATTCAATTCGATGTTGAGATCAATCCACGATTTCTTGGAAACGTGGTTGTGAACCCCTTTACTAATGAAGACAACTAAATGAATTTTTTCCCAAAAGAACGCTTTGCAGTCGCATTTTGTGCTGCCGAAATTTGCAAAAGAGCCTCACAAGAGCTGTATCTGAGTGTTTCCCCTAGACCTAAAAAAACGCTATTGCGTCATCTAGTGAATGAACACGCTCGTTTTCCCCGACCTTCGTGGTCAGCTTTTTGGTTCTACACCGTCACCATGTCCCCCAATCTTTTTCCTTATGAATTACGCAAGGTTCACCACTGGCATCCACGCGTAGCATAACTGAAATGGATCGATAAATCTTTCCGCAGACTATTGCACACACATCATCCATGTTTTGAGGCAGCTTTTGCTTTCATACCGATGCGGCCGTAGATCTTGAGCAAGAGTAGCTTGATCTGAAAGCAGGAGGGACTGTAGACCAGGGCCTTCTCCAGGGCCACCACGAGACGCAGCAGCAGGCGACAATCACCTGCGTCAGGCCATACATAACCGTGTAACCAACAATGTCGCACCACATTGCAAAAGCAGAATGTTACAAAGAGAGATTTGATATGAATGCAGACACTAAGGAAAGAAGTAAGATAAAATGACTAGCCTTGTTCACATACTCGAATGCTTCGAGTGTTTGAACTAATATTACTGTACTCAAATTCGCTTGAAATCAAATATAAACTGTTGAAACTTTTCAAGTATGCAAAAGCAACGAATGGATGTACACTCAAACCTCGTTATAACGAAGTTGAAGGGGAGCCACAATTATTTTGATATATCCATTTCATTATATCGATTATAACAGTTTGTGGCAATGTATGCTCAGATGGATGCACACCTATAAGCATGCAAAGAAGGAAACTGCCTCGTGGCCTGATGTACCGCGACCCTACCACACGCGCCACAAAAAATCAACACAGCCGATTCTCATTAATTCGAACTTTTGGGTAATTCGAACTCACGCTGAGGTCCCGTCAAAGCTATGTATATTCCAATGAGCGAAAACGCCCCGTAATTCGAACGCGCAAGCACTTGCGACGGTTAATTCGAACATACCGCGCTCCGGAAATTCTCTCAGCACCATGCCCAATCCCGCGGCGGCACTTCTCAACGCTGGGAGCGAAGAAGGAAAAGAAAAGGAAAGAAAAAACTGTGGCGGATTGTTTGCTCTCTCTCAAATGCCGATCTGCAACGCGTCTGTGCCACACTTCTCCCTTTTCCGTCTCTGCCCGTAGAGACCCTTCTCCTTTCAAGGCCGCGCGCGGAGAGAGAGCGAGAAAAAAAAAGAAAGCTGTCCCATTATAGCAACAACTTAATGAACTACCTTGAATCAATTAACTTCTTTTATGCGCACCAGCATGGTTTTAGAAAACCATTATCGTGCAAAACACAGCTCTCAGAATTCACCGATGATATCTTGCAACACATAGACGATCATCTACAAATTGACGCCATCTTCCTCGACTTTTCGAAGGCCTTGAAACGTGTCTCACACAATCACCTGCTTGCAAAATTATCTGCTCTTGGAATCCCCCCGAAACTGATTACTTGGACAGAACATTTCTTAAAAGGACGCGTACAATACACAACTGCCAACTCTCATGACTCACAAATTTCTAGTGTTACATCCGGTGTCCCCCAGGCAGCAGGCTTATCCCTGGGGAACAGGGATAAGCCTGTTTATTTAAAAGAATTATTTTTTATCTACGTCAATGACCTGCCATCTAACACAAAAACCAGACTTCGACTTTTCACCGATGACTGCATCATCTACAATGCCATTCACAAGCCTAGCGACTCCATTGATCTTCAGGAAGACATTGACACTATCGCTGCATGGTGTGGAAAATAGCTCATGCCTTTTAACCTTAATAAGTGCCAATCCATGTCCTTTTCCCGTAAACGCAGCACCGCTATTCTCGCACATCATGTCAATTCGAATGAAACAACTCGAACAGACTGCTATAAGTAGCTAGGCGTTCACTTGACATCGTCATTATCATGGGTCGCTCACATTGAAACAATATGCGCACATGGATTTTTGCGCCAAAATCTCAGATCTGCATCACCCGCTATTAAAAAACTTGCATATCAGACATACATTGGGCCTAAATGGGAATACGCTGCATTTATCTGGCACCCCTCACAAGCATATCTCACCTACGAATTAGAATCCATCCTGAATCATGCTGCTCGCTTCATAACGTCAAACTACTCGCGTAAATTTAGCATCACCGAACTCAAACGCACACTTGACCTTCCATGTCTCCAATTACGTCGAATCATCTCGCGTCTCTGTTTGCTTCACTCTTTCTATTATCACCCACTTGCCAGGCACCCTCGACTTCAACCACCGCCTCGAATCTCGCCGCGCCTCAGCCACAGCAAACCAATCGCACACATTCAGTGTCGCACATCATCAATGAAAGACTCTTTTTCCCCCATGCAATAACCCTGTGGAATACCCTCTCCGACAGAATTGTTTCGTCCACCGACCGCACGACTTTTCGCGAAAAAATAACAATGCATCTGACCTAAATTGAAATGAATTCCTAGTTGAACCATGTTAGTAACTTACTTTTAGTGACTCATGCATTATGATGCTGATTACTTATGTATATTGCTGTTTTATTTACAGTCTACGGTAGTTGTTCTTTTTTTTTCTGCTTGCTCGTTTCCTTTCTTAGAGATGTTTTTTCTCCCTTTCTTCGTCTTTTCTTCCTTTTTCGGCGTTTGTGTAATTAAGGGTCCCTCATATATTGTTTGCCCCCGCCTTATGTAATGCCTCCGGGCCCTTAAGGCTTCAATAAATGAAATAAATGAAATAAAATGGTAGCAGCGGAGACGCAGTCGTTGCCGCCGTGAGAGAAAATTGCTTTGCACCGCTGCGCCGCTTCTCGGTCATGTGACCCGCTGAGCGCTTCCTTAATCCTCTTCGCTGGCTGAGTAAGGGGGACGGCTCTCTCGGCCGCATGGGGCGTGGCTGTAAGGTCGGCGCGGGAGGTTTGAAAAAGCCGCGCCAAACGAGCGTCAAACTCCGCAGAAAACGATATACTTAACACACTACGGTCCGGTTTTTTTTGATAGACTAAAATAGACTAATTTAGTTCATTATATCCATTTACCGGTCCATTTTACTTCATTACAACAAGGTTTAAAATGCATGATTTCAATGAAGCTTTCAAGGAGAATTTCATTTACTTCATTATATCCATTATTTCGTAATATCCCATTACATCATAATGAGGTGTGAGTGTATATTAGGGCACATGTGACAACTGTCAAAGGTGTTCTGTGCAGCAGGAGAGTGCTACGTCGTGAAAACAACTCTTGTATATTAGTTCACAAGTATTCCTCTGTAAAGGTGGTTTCACTGCAGTAAAGGAATGCTAAACTGCGTAAACATCTATCCAGGAAAATTCCGCACTGCCTCGAAGCCCCATTTCAAGTTTAAATGAACATATTACATTCACACCTATTCACCATTATTTAAGCTTAACAGCTTGCTATACTGGCTTATATGCACTAGGTATAGCAAATTTTAGAACATCACATATTTTACAGGTTATCACTAGCACTCTACTGAAAGTCACATCTTCCTACTATTCAAAGTTGTTTGCACTTTCTTTGAACCAAAACGAATGGCATTTGCACAGGCCTTGTTTAAATTTTAAAAATATTGTGCAGGCTAGTGGCCATAAAAATATGCTTATCTTCCTTTATTATTCGTATTTAATTCAAAATTATTCAACCAAAATCACTATGCACTTTGACCCTAAAATTCACTATTCTCACAAGTCTAAAATGACCTTTCGAGGGCTCGGTTGGTGCATTAAGATAAAAAAAAAAAAGAAAAACCCAAGCCTAAGAAAATTCACCACATTAAAGAAGGTTGCACATCGGAGGAGCACAAGGAAGCAAGGCAAGCTGAACTGCGGGATATAAATTATAATGACTTTTTCCCAACCTCAACTTTTTATTGCCAATTCAAATAGCAGCTTGGAACACTCATTCAAGTAGAGGAATGTGCACGCATAGCTTTAAAAACATTTTTTTTTACTTACGCTGCTCTGTTCTTATTTAAATATGGTAGCAAGATTGTATTTTGTGGTTATGATCACTTGATGTAATTTTGGATTATTAATTGGCTAGCCTTTTAAGCAAGGTAGAAAAAATTTAAGAACCCTTAAGCTTAAGGCAGCTGCAAGCGGAAGTTCAGTTATCGGACCAAGATAGCGCGCCTCGGACCCACAGTATATTAGAATCTCGTTGGACACACCGCTTATCAACAGTCGAAACTTGGAACGGAGATCACCGTTGGAAAACTCATTATGCTCACAATCGAGCATGATGTACTTTGAAACACTGAGCACCACGGCTGCACATAGACACTGAGATCTCTGCTCAAAGTTATGGCTAGGCCTAACTTCACTTCGAACTTTGTGGGCAAGACCATCATGATAACGGACAAGTGAAAGCGAAAAAGCTGCCATGCATTTCATTGAAAACTACGAATTGCATCGTCTACTGGCTCTTCAGAACCGCTGATGGGCACTTTGCTCGTTGGCGGCGGACCTCTCAGCCAAGCTCGGTACGGAGTGACTGCTGTTATGACCGCCATCGGTAGGCGCCATACTGTCGCTGAGAAGCGTAGCCGGGCAGCGTTCCCACGCCTGGAACCCCGGTTTTCTTGGAACCAGCGTCGAGAGATGACGGGGGAGCGGCGCTCTTTTAATCTTCAAACAAGTAGCCGGCTCGCCGAATGCCTATGCCCGCCAGGCATTGTCCCAGCTAGCCAGCGGATGAGACATCACGTCGCCACGAAGCGGTAAGCCGTTCCAGAGGGGACAACAAAGACAGCGTCTTCCTTTGTAGAAACGGCGACCGCCGCCACAAAGTGTCCTGCTAATTGAGCAGACAGATTGGCGGACCATTTGATGTCTGCTGTCCGAAGCTTGGGACCCCTCGACCAGTGACACACACGACGAGCAAGAGCCCCTCTGGCGCCACCTTTAAGTGCAGTGATCTTGACTCGAAATTGGCTGTTCACGTGCGCCGTGCCTGCTCGTACCCCTCACCTGTTGTGTGTGTGTGTGATTGGTGTTCCACTGAAGAAGGAGGAGCCCGACAGGGCTTATAACGGCGCCGCAGAGTGCAGGACGTCGCTCTGAACCAACTAAAGGTTCAACCACCACGTTCGTAGTTTGTGATGGCTCTGAACCAACTAACCACCACGCTCGTGGTTTGTGAACTCTTAACCTCATGCTGTAAATATTTGTAAATAGTGCCATAAACCTTGTTTGTTTTTCGTATCCCCATCTTGTAAGCGCTCGTTTCCTCAATCCGAAGCTACACCACGCTACCACAGCACCCCGGGATCACAACAACTGGTGATCAGCGGTGGGATACGACACAGCACCCCGCGATCACCACAACTGGTGGCAGCGGTGGGATACGACTCAGCACCCCGAGCCACGA